AGCTGCCTAACAAAAAGATCTAGCGAGGGGGGACAAAAATGATCAGAGCACTTTTTTGGAGAAAGCAAGTCGTTAAAGATTAGGTTCGCACTTCAGAAGGGAGCGTCGGGGGAGTGAACAAAAGGCTGGCTGGCACAAAGAAGACTGACCAGGACTTTCGTTTCCCCTTTCACATCATGCAAATCTAAAGCAACAGACAATTATTTGCATTGCTTAAAAAAAAAAATAAAAATCAGTAACTCAAGCCTTAATTAATCTGCAGAACTGCTTGCTGCAAAGTATTGTAGCGATAAAATATAGCAAGAATCAAAGCGTGGAGGAGGTTAAGCATCTTTAATGAAAGAGAGGACCCCCGCAGCCACAGCCGCCAGGACAAAGGTAGGGAAAAATCAAAGTCTTTGTGTTTTTGTGCTTATAAAAGCCGCTGACTAACAAGGTTTGGGGTGGATTATTCCATACCGAACAATCACGAGGAAACTTCTGAAGGCCAATCTGGCCGTTTTCAGGGAGGAGAGACCAGGGCGGATGGACAACCCGGCCCTCGCTGAGTGCAGGGGCTCCTCTCCGCTGGGTGGAGGACACAGGCTGGAGATGCCGCTGCAGAAATGATGGGGCTCGAGAAGGGGTACCCAAGGGCTTGCTCCTTGCCTGCACAAATCCCATTTTCCAGGGTTATCCCTGTGTTTCCTTGTTCTCTCCTGGTCTTCTTGACTGTTTCTTCACCATCTGGGTTGGGGCATCCACTTCTTTCTTGTCTTTGTTGTGGGTGCAAGCAACTTCTTTGCTCAAGAGAAGGAGGCCCACTCCAGGACCTACGATTTTACATGCCAGGTGGGTCCCATTTCTCAATCTACTCCTACTATCCCAACCTATGCCAAGAAAGCAATCCCATAAAACATCATCCTAGAGGTCTCCTTCTCCGAGTGCATCTTGACTATGTATCAGTTATGTGAGAGAGCATCTACAAACTCCCCTTGGGTTCCTCATGAAGGACATCCCAGGCAGGATTCATCTCAGTCTCTCCTGGCAGGACAGCCAGGCACCCATGGGGAGTCTGTCCCCAAAGATGGGCTAAATGTCTCTCTGGGGAGGTCTCTCTTTCTCTCCACTGAATAGAGAGGGACCTGGGCTGGAAGGGTTAGAGAACTAAGGTCTATACAGCCAAAGGGAACCACATCTTCCCTAAACGTGGCAATTGCTGCAGCTGTTTAAAATACTTGAAAATTTCCTAGGTTTTTTTTTCTTTCTTTTTAATTTGGAAAATTAAACTGAGCTGAAATAAAATCTTTCCAGGGGAATGTGTGGATTTCATCAAGATTTTGCAAAGAAAAGTGTTTTGTTTGGATAGCAACGCAGCATTTCTGGGGGTTGTTTCAATTTGTTTTCTAATAGGAACTCCAGCCTCCCAAGGATGGTGCCTGAGATGTACAAGAAGCAAGACAGACCCCCCAAAAATTCCTCGTCCTGTAGGGATTTGGTGCTCCCTCTCACTTGGGTGTCCCCTTGGCCATCGCCCCACTCAGCGGGAGAGCTCCTGCCTGCACAAGGCACGGGCAGCGGCTGGGGACAAGAGATATTTTATAATGTCCAGGCCAATAGGCAGAAACTGTATTTACATCCCTGGCTGAGCAGGGAGAACGTTGCCAGCCTCTGGCAGGACAAGGCACTAATAAATTTGTGGTTTTTTTTTTTTTTTTTTTTGCTGTGGGGCTTTTTTTTTTT